AATGATACTTTGTATCTGACCATGTGAAAGTTAATTAAAGTCCTTGTCATGAACAGACATTATATGGACTAACCTGGTCCTGAAGTATCAGTTGATAAATTCTCTAAATTTATGGAGATATGAATATTGATGAGATGGTACTATAAGTTACCACATGATTAATGTGATGTCGGAAGTTATGGCATAATGATTAAATGATATCATGGTATAGTAGTACTGGATGCTACCACTTTATGATTAAACAAAGTGATGAAATGGTACTAGAAGCTACCATTGGATGATTGAACAAAATGAGAAAGTGGTATCAAAAGCTACCAGCTATGGGTGATCACACAAAAATGATTTCTCAATATATTATATAAGTCTAAGGGGCTATACCAGATGACGAGATCACATTGGGATACGAGATCATACAGATATTACAATAAAGTGCTCCGGAAGAAGCACAAATGATAATGATTGTAGTCATGAACTACTATACACTGAGAAAAATCGAAATTGATATTATTATTACTGAGAAACAAGTACAAAATGTTCAGATGGTGGAAATATGGAAAAGAGGCAGTAAATACTCGATGAATACAGAATACGCAAAGATTACATAATAGAACCCATAAAAGAAGGGTGCGTCTCGAGAGTGTAAAACTCCGTAACTCTGCCACCCATGAATGATATCTGGATTCATATTTGAATAATATCTGGGTTCATAATGAGAAATCTAAAGGATCAAAAGCTCTTTTTCGCTTGACCCCTTGTGTTTCCACAGAATCTTGAAATGTGATGCATTCTTGAAGCTTTTTGATAAGTTCAGCAGACGTGTCAGCAGATTTGAATACTTCTCTCATTGAAGGAGATATAAAGGTTTGATATACTCCTATGTCTAAAAATCCAAGCAAACCATGAAAGAAGTTATTAAAGTTCAATAGACCTATGGGCTTGTTATGAAGTTCCAATTCTGCCCATAAAGCAATGGTGAACATTGTCATTAGCGTTCCATACCCGCCTGGAAGAATGATAAAAGCATCGCTATTGTTCACCATATCCATCATACAATCATGAATGGAATGAGTTAACATCATGCTTGTGGAATCCTTGACGACCTTTGTTGAAGCTCTACGAAAAGGTATGATACTTTTCACTTCTATCTCAAAACATTGTCCAGCCATTAAGAGACTATCATAGAAAGTATTGCTAGTCCCTCCATTCAGCAAATTGATTTTTTGATTCCCCATATCTTTGACTAACTGACTTACAATATCAATAGTTTGAGAAAAACTTACCAGTTTAGAACCACCAAGAACACATATGGTTTTGATCGGTTGAAGAAAATTATTACCTTGCGAAGACTCTGAAACATCCATCTATTTATTGATAAACTGAATTTTTCAAAACTTTGTGAGGCATATGATTATGATGAACGACTCGCTATTTAAATAGAAAGTTTTACAAAGCAATAAATAATTTTACTGTTTTCTTCTGACAATTGCAACTGACAGATAAGGTGTTGGGTTTTAAATAAATCTTATCTGTCGGCAACTATAAGTTTTTCTAGAAAATTACAGTACAACATACTAAACTGTATTAGTATGATTTTTCGTACTAAAAAGACCAGTTTTACAAACTTTATCTTTTGAAATAATATTTTCACGACTATAGCGTTCTTCTTCACTTTTGAACTGAGTCCATAAAGACATAAGCTCACGATGCACGTATCCACTAGGATGTGCCTCAAGAATCTGTTGAATCGTTTGATCCAAAGACTCCTTACTCAATCCATCCTTTATAAACGTTATTTTATCTTCTCGATTTTTGGACACGTACCCCACAGATATACATCGTGTGTCACAAGTCCATCGAGCGCATTTGAAGCATCCACCTAACCTTTTTGCTCTTCGTTTCTTTGCATAAGTACTTTTACCCATACCTGGCATATATTTATATGAATTTGGAAACTCTCCAGACAATCGAACTTGTGCTTCGATCAACCATCTAACATCATTTGGAATACCATTA